TGGAAAAATGTTTAAAATTAGGAGTACTTATAGATTTTTTTTACCCAACCCCCACCCCCAAACCGCCCGAACCCCTGCAGCCCATCCAACGGCTATATAGCCGTTTGGGTTGTCCCCAGCCCACCCCAACGGTCATTTTTGGCCCAAACAATTTTTTTTTAAAGGAGCCGTTGTGACCTAGACCCGGGCCCGACCCGGCCGGGCCGTGTCACCTTTTGCAGGAACCGAGCCCGCCCCCGCTTCCCCCACCGGTTCTGGTCTACACCCGATCCGGGACCGCCAGACCGGGCCGGTCCCGGGCCCGCATTGTAGCAGGCCAGGTCAGGTCACGGGCCGGGTTGCCCGAACCGAATCCATCCCTAGGCTGTATTGACTGAACTTATTGTAGATGATCATTTTAGCTATTTTTGCATATAATTTTTTCTTTATTTTATTAATAAAATGTATTTTAAAAATAATTCTTTCTTAAATCAGCAGAATCAGCCAATGCAGCCACTTCAGCCAGAACTTCATAAATTTCGTAACACCTAGTATGTTGAGGCCAACTTTAAATATTGTTATTAATATTTCGCCTGTACCATGTATGTAGAAGCATATTGTTCAAATATTATGTTGAAAAGGCAATATATGAAAGTATAAATAAAAAATAACTTATTATCTAATAATTTTTTCATAATTATAATTATAAATTGAAGTGATTTTTAAAAACGATGAGATGATTTGGGAATAAAAGAATTCAATTTGAGAAACAAATGAGTTAAAAAGCAAATTATTTAAGTCTATCGGTGTCTTTCATTTACGCAATTGAAGAAGGCAAAAAATGAATAGTAATAACTAATATCCCATCATCCCATGCGGATCGGAGTATAAAAATATAAAATAATGCAATTTTCGTTTAATCAAATTACAATAAAGAACTACGGAGTATTTAAAAAGCACTTCGTTTCAATCCAATGCCCCGCCGAGTCCAATTTTTTTTGTCCTCTCGTCTTCACGCTCTTGTCGATTGTCTAGTTCCACTTTTTTTTCCTCCACAGGGCGTATGGGGAGGAGGTATGGGGGGCCTGGAGTAGACATGGACTCGAGCCGGGTCAGGCCCGGGCCGGGTCTAGGCCCGATCTGGCCGTCGATTTGAAAGTGATTGATCCGGGACCGGCCCGAGGTCTGGACGGGTCCGATTCGGGCCGGGCCAATTGCCCGGGTCACGGGTCGGGCCACCCGCCAGGCCGGGCCGACGCGTTAAATCCAATTTTTTTATTAATTAATTAAAATGAATTCAGTAAAAAATGCTACATATAAAAAAATGAATGTATATTTATTTGAAATATGAACTACAAGTTTACAAGTTACAATTGAGAATTTAAGGTAAAACTAAAACATGAAATATTAATCAATCAGAATCTCCGACATAGGTAGAGCCACCTTCGATTGTAGATTCATCCATAAAGTGTTGAAATGAGGTGATGTCAATTTCTTGAACTCTACGGGCCGCCTTCAACCAATCGTGGTAGCATACTAGCATATTAGCATATCAAGAGATTATGCGATCAACCTCGTTCTACATTGCGTTAGGACATTGCCGACCGAACTAAATTCTTGTTCCACGACAACAGTTGAAACCGACATTGATACCACTTGCTTAGCCATCTTTGCTAAAACCAGAAACATTCTTTCTTTTCCCTTCCACCAGTTTAGTACGTCAAAATCATCATCTTCTTCAAAACCAATATCATATGTAAAATACAAAGAAATCTCATTAATTGTACTTTGTTGCGTAGCGTGAGTTGATTTCATTTTTTTAATAAGATTGGCAAATGTAGATTTGAAAATTGATTTTCCTTTAGATGATGATATTTGTGTCGGGGGAGGGGGCACGTTGTCATATTGTGCATGAAACTCATTAAATAATGCATAAATCATATCACTAACCTCGTTGTATTTTTTTTCGGATCAATTGGGTTGTCCTCATACATTGGCATTGGACCAAAAAAAGCAGCATAATAATAATTCAAACATTCTTCTAAAGAACCAAGTCGAAAACCAGGATCGAGAACAAATGCAATACCATAAATATGCGGAATATGTGAATAATATTTTAAAAACTTTTCCTTAATAAAATTAGCAAAATAACTCACATAATCAGCAGTCTCAAAATTTGAAAAAGCACCGACGAGATTAACATCTTCACGAATAAATTGATTTGAGATAGGTTTATAAACATGACTAAAAGTTTCAGTTGCATTGTATATTTTAGACTCAGCCGAGTTTAGAATATAGTTATTATATTGTTTCATAAAAGCAGGAAAATGTTATTTATATCTAAGAAGAACTCCAATTAACTTATAAGTATTATTCCAACGAATAGACAAATCTTTAGAAAAAGCCACATATTTCTCACCTCTTTCTATCAAATAATCTCTTTCTAACAGCCCACCCAACGGTTATATAGCCGTTTGGGTTGTCCCCAGCCCACCCCAACTGTCATTTTTGGCCCAAACAATTTTTTTTTTAAAAAAAAGAGCCATTATGACCCGGACCGGGTCACTTTTTGTAGGAACCGAGCCCGCCCCCGCTTCCCCCACTGGTTCGGGTCTACACTCGGTCCCGGACCGCGAAACCGGGCCGGTACCGGGACCGCACAGTAGCGGGCAGGGTGGCCCGAACCGAATCCATCCCTAGCTTGGAGTAATCTAGGCGAAAAATCATTTCATTGAGTTTTGAACACGAGACCTCCCGTAAGGGAGAGTGAGCCGTCGACCAGCTGGGTGGACCGCTTTCTCGTTCCCTCTATCTTCTTCTTTTATGCCTTTCGAAACATTATTTTGAATAATTATATTTACTTCAATGGATAATTGGGATAATTACCCTAGGTAAGACTAAAAGTTCTTCACTTTCCCAATCTATGACTTAACTACTTTTTTTACCAAAATAATATTAAAAATCATTATATTTAATTAAATTCGGCATACTTAATTAAATAAATAATAGAGGTGGACAAATTTACCATTTAGGTTATATCTATAAAACCCCTAAGCTCCCGTCCTTTTCTCCAACCCTAGCCTCCATTCTCCCACCTTCAGAGATCCACTCTCCTGCCGCCGCACACCACCTGCCGCCCGCCGCCCATGGCCTGCTGTCCGCCATCTAGCCAACACCCACCGTCCAGGGATTGTGGAAGGTGCGTGCTACAATGATTGTGGAAGTTGAGACCTGGAAGGCTGGAAGTACGTTGGGTTCATATATTTGATCAACCGCTGCAGTGGCAAGACGGAGCTTCGCCGGGAAACGATGGCCATGAAGGTTGCGTGTGACTAGGGGTGGACTCGGGTCCGGACCGGGTCCGGGTCGGGCCTAGGCCCGGCCGGGCCGGCGGTTCAAGAATGGTGGACCCGGGACCGGCCAGGGTAGCCACCGGGTCCGGTCCGGGTCCGGGCCGGGCGCGTCCGGGCCTCCGGTTTGGAATTTTTTTTTTTTTTTTTTTGCTTTCCTAACCCCCCCCCCCCTCACCCCCCACCCTCCCAAACCCCCCCAAACCCATCCTACCCATCAAGCCCAACCCGAGTGGAACCCCAAAAATGAAAAAAAAAATAAAAAAAAATCAATTTGGCCCGGGCCCGGGCCCGACCCGGCCGGGCCGGTTCACCAAAATTGAGACCCGAGCCCGGACCCGCACTACCCCCCGGGCCTAGGCCCGACCCGGACCCGAGAACCGGGTCGGTCCCAGTCCCACACAGTAGCGGGCCGGGCCGGTCCACGGGCCTGGGTGGCCCGACCCGAGTCCAAGCCTACGTGTGACCGTTGGATCGCCTGTCCAACCTCGACCCTGTACGGGTACGGGTACTGTTTCATTTGACTTTTTCGAATTGGGCGCCATCTGTGCGATGCTTGCTTGATGCGATGGAGTGATGGGCTTTTGGGCTGCGCGTGTAACCCTAGCTCAGAATCTTGCAATCGCTGGGACTCTTGGAATGAGCAGCGGATTTGGCCTTATGCGCTGAGCGGCGCTGTGATACTCACGGACAGGAGAAGCCTTTATTTAGTTGGGCAATTTTGGATGACATTAAATATGGGCAGTGAATATGGACATTTGATATGGACATTGAACACCATCACTGAACATTTCAGTAGGTGTTGAGTATGAACGGTGAATATATATGGTAATAGACATGTTGCACATTACAATGAATGGATGCATTAAGTTTTTTGTTGTGCATTGATTATGACCAGTATTGCACTACCACAAAGCAGTAATATCATCATGAAATACAATATACTTAATTAGACGTAAAATAATAAAATTATTAAATCTAAAAAACAAAAAATAAAAGCAAAAAATAAATTCCTCAAGCGAATGAGAAGAGAATTAATTTTGACGAAGTGCAGTGAGTATTACCGGATGTGCAGTAAAGTCGTGCATTAATTTTGTGCAGTAACGACAATATAAAGTGCAGTAATTTTAATTGGACGAAATTAGTGCAAAAGGCACATATTTTAAATAGGGGTATTTTTGTCATTCAACCTTTATATATAAACGAATTTTCTTTTTTTTTTGGGATTTTCGGTCACAAATTTTTGGGTAATTCTAACCCTAGTCAGCAGCAGCAGCAACAGCAACAACAACAGCAACAACAACAACAACAACACTAGTAGTAGTAGTAATAATAATAATAGTAATAATTATTATTACTTTATGAGATCTAGGATCGATACTCAAATTTTCCAACAATATCAATGACATTACATCTTTTGCATTACGTATGTTTCTATGTAGACTAAATTTAGGGTGGTCACAGTTGGTTAACCGTCTTTTGTTAACCAACTTCCGATTGATCGAGTGTTCGGTTATTGTATTTTGAATACCACTATCTCTACCATAATATCGGTTAACCCGGTATTGATTACCCGAAATTCCGGTTAACCACTAACTGGTTAACCAAATAACCATGAAATAAAAAAATGAATTAATCTGCCAAATTCATAAAATGAATGTTCGATTTTTTTTTACCTCGGAAGGCCAACCACCAAAATCAGTGGGGCAAATGTCGCGGGACATTTACAAGATTTTATTAAAATCAATGTAAGTACAAAGTTCGGGGGGGCCAAACCTTACCCGAGGAAAGAAAACAGTACAAGTAAGAGGGGGGGGGGGGGGGGGGGGGACAAACCAAAACCTCCGAGTAAAATAATCAAAAATTAAACAAGCCAACGAATAAAAGGAATATGGAACATATCGAAGTGGAATTTAATTCGAACTGGGCTGGGTAACGAATCAACTGAAGTCCAAGAAGTAAACTGGCCCGAGTATGTAGCCGCAAGAAGATGGGCGGGCCGTTCTATTTCCTTCTCTGAGAGTATGTCGAAAATGAACCCCTTTCCTAAAACAAATTTGCCTGAAATCAACGAGGTCTTCATTCAAAGCTTCGTTGTTGCTTCGTTGAAATAAAATCCAGAACCGCCTCCGCATCTATCTCAACAAGGAAATCCCGGTAGCCTTCCTGAATCGCCCACCTAGTTGCCTTCGTCACTGCGAGAAACTCTGCTTCCAAGGACAAGGAAGCAGAAGCCGGAAAAGCCGTCGCACAAATCAATTCACCAGACTGATTTCGTAAAATCACACCTCCTGAGGCAGAGTCAGGTATAAACGCAGCATCTATATTCAACTTCATCCCTATCTTCGATTTCATCCAACTGAACGGTTTAAAAAGCTTCTGCTTAACTTTAAACCCTTTAGGAAATAACCGCTCTTCAAATAATACAAAATCAATCTTACCAAACCTTTGAGTAGATAAGCTTAAAGCCCAATTCTGAGTGAAAGGCTTGATGTTCCAGATTACGTGACAAATATTAGGCACAACCAAACTAGAACCCCAAAGAATATTAGTATAAATCTTCCAGATATTCCAACATATAATCCCTGGAAGGTTGGCAGACTCAATAATATTTGCCCCACTCAATAATATTATGTTCCAGATCTTCCTGAACAAATCAATAATATTTTTACTACCAGACTCAATCCACCATACTAGGAAAATGCTTCGAATATATAGACAATGAGTTGGCATAGGAATGGAAAGAATTTGAGCAAAATAAGACCAAATTGCCTTAGAAAACTCACATGTCAGAAATCAGAGTATAATTGAATCTTCATGTTTCCTGCGAAGAGGACAGATTGAAGGTTGAATAACCTTACCAAAGCGAACGAATCTATCTGTAACAGGCAATATCCCTTTTAGAAGTCTCCATTCGAACAACCTAATCTTAGGTTGTTGCTAAGGCTGCCACATCTGTGTATAGGAAAAGGAGGAACCCGGAGAATGTCTTATAGCATGATAAGCAGATTTAAGAGTGAACTGACCATCTTTTGTAATTTTCCAGGTGATCTGAGAATATGAAGAGTCAATCAGAGAGGTGGCCAGATTATGAATTGAACACAATCTTCTCCAAATAGGTGAATCAGTTATATTAATCCTCATCTCCTCATTTCTAGGATATTTGACACTCATGAATGACCAAAGACAAGGAGATTCCCTCCATTTCCATCATAGTTTTAAGGAGAATGCTTTTTCCAAATCCCCAAGAGATCTAAGATCCAATCCCCCTTTATCCTTAGCATAACAAAGCCTTCTCCAGTTGATCCATTGGTATTTAGGCCTATTATTAGAAGAACCACATAAGAAATTAGCCATTTTTTTCAAGAATCCCTTTAATTTTCTTAGGCAGAACATGCACAACTAAGTGATGCATAGGGATGGACCCCAAAACATGTTTGATCAAAATTAATCGTCCTGCCATAGAAAGATTCTTCTGCCTCCAAGTTTTGAGTCTAGAGTCAAACTGGTGAATGATATTTGGACAATATTGCTTCCTATTAATGCCTTTGTGAAGGTTGATCCCAAGATACTTCATTGAGAGTGTTGTCTTTTGCATGCTCAGTAGATCTTGCATAGCATGAGTTCTATAAATAGCATGTTTTTCACACATGAAGGTACTTTTGTCAAAGTTAACTGCTTGCCCAGAAGATTTTTGATATAAGGTAAGGAACCTCTGAAAATTAAGATGGGATCTGGAGTCTCCATTTAGGAAAATGAGGAGCTCATCTGCATACCCTAGGTGAGACACAGGATTGCCATTTTTACCAAACCAGTATGGTTTAATTAAACCATTAGAAATATACCAATTAAGCCCCCTAGAAAAGGCTTAATTAACAAGAAGAACAGATAGGTGGCTTGAAGATTGTTTAAGATACTTTGAACAATTTGATTGCAAACACAAACTACAGCAACATCTTTTCAAGAAAACTCTAGAATAATCTGTCAAATGCCTTGGCCATATCAAGCTTGATGATGACATTAGAACCTTTAACCTTTTTATCAAGTTCACGAACCATTTCTTGAGCAATTAAAGTATGATCTGCCGTGTCATGCCCTTTCATAAAACCAATTTGCTCTTTTGAAATCAATTTAGGCATGAGGATAGACATCCTGTTAGTAAGTACCTTCGTACAAACTTTAGTAACAAAATTTGAAAGGCAGATCAACCTAAAATCAGCAAAAGAAAGAGCATTATCTTTCTTGGGGATTAAAGCAATCAGTGTGCTAGAGAGACCTTTAGGGATAGGAACCCCAAGGAAGAAATCATGTACAACACTAACTGCATCATCACACACAATATGCCAACATTTTAAAAAAAAATTACCATTGTATCCATCAACCCAGCAACTCCATTTTGATTAAGAGACTAAACAGCTTCTTTGATTTCATCAATAGTAGGCAGCTTAATTAACGCTTGATTATCCTCAATCTCTACTAGTTTAGGTATATATTGAAGAATTTCATCAGGGTTCCCAGGCCGCTCTTGAGTGTAAAGGTTGGTGAAGTAATCAACTGTAGCAGCCCCAATATCAGGTAAATTATCAACCATATCACCTACACAATTCTGAATAGACATGATTTGTTGTTTCCTATGTCTGATATTTACATAGGAGTGAAAGAAGTGAGAATTAGAATCCCCATCTTTAAGCCAACGCAAATGAGCCTATTGTTTCCAAAGCAAAGTTCATCATCTAACACTTGATGTTCACAATTTCTAATGTCATCAAAAATATTGTCAAAGGTTTCCTTGTTCCACATCTTTAATTCCTGCTTCAAACTTTTCAATTTGCAACAAACTCCATGAATGTAGAATGCCCAATCCACATATTCTGAAATCTAAAAAGTTTAGGACTTAGCAACCCACTATAGGAGATTTGAACCAAAATAGGGGAGTGATCTGAAGGTGTTTTTTAAGAGATGATTGATATGAATAAGATCAAAAACCTCAATGCACTTATTATTAAATAAAACCTTGTCTAACCTTCTCCACAGTCTACCATTAGATCTGACCCATGTCCAAGTATATTGTGTACCACTAAAAGGGTAGGTCAATGAAATTACAATCAACAATACAATTAGAGAATTCCAACATACTAGCCATATGTGGCATAGCCTAACCAAAATGCTAAGAATGTGTAGCAATAGAGTTGAAATCACCACCCACAAACCAGGGGTCTCCAATCTGATTGTAAAATAGCATTAACTTATCCTAGAGAAGTCTTCTTTGGAGGTAGTTATGGTTACCATACACATCAGTAATGTAGCCAGTAAAAACACCAGAATCCACTTTGATATGTAAGAACTGAGGATGAATTTCAATCATATTAACATCAAATTGGAAATCATTCCAAAATAACCAAATCTTAGTAACTTCATAAGCAAAAACTTTATTAAAACCCAACTGCCTCATGTAATACTTAGCTTTACTGATATGAACAATTGGCTCAATCACCACAAGAAAATGAATACTCCTATGCTGAATAAGAGAGAATAACCTTGAATCAACACCCTCTAGCCCTCTTAAATTCCAAAAAAGACAGTTCATTGAGAACTGATGAGATGTAGCTTATGAGAGCCCTAAGACTGAAGTTTGAGGGTTATTAGTAGTTGCTGCAAGTTTCTTGACAGTATTTCTAGTAATCATTGAGGGGACTTCTTGAAATTTCTTCTTCTTTTTATAACCCTTCTTTCTGACTACTATGAAACCAGCTTCTTGATATGGAACATCATTAGGCTTGGCAGCTCTGCTTATCTCCTGCTGCTCTCTTTGTTTAACAATACATTTCACCTTTTGAATGATATTAGGTAGATCTGCCTTCCAACAGTGTGTATATTCAATTTTTTTGGGGTTCCCATTGTCTGAGGAGTAATCCTTACCTGCAAGTTCATGATCAAACTCTAGTTCTTGATGAAGCATTTGAAGTTGGGAATCATCAAGTATAGGCCCTAAAGGTTTGTTATTATTGATGGCTGATAATTTAGCTAACCAAACTGTGTCTTCATCAATTTGTTGCTTTTCTGAATTTTTTTCAAATTGTACTGGCTCAGGCTCTGGGTCGTGATAAATTTCCTCCGTATCAGTATCTTCCTGCAAGTCAACAAGCTCTGGGACATCTGAGACAGTGTCAACCCTCTCTTGCCTACAGGAGGATGAATCTGTTACTTTATTAATATGTATTCCAGTCACTTCATTTGTAATTGGTAGCTATTTAGCAACCCATTTCTCTTTTACAGTTCTAGCATTTTGAGCATTTGTATCTTGTGCTGCATGCTTGTAAGGAATAAATTGTATTTAGATTTTGATGATGCTAAGCTAATTAGGATTTTAGAGTACCCCTTTAAAAATCTTGTATTAGAATTTTCTTTGTGTAAGTTTTAGCATAGTCGATAGGCCAGAAACTCTCTTGGTTTTCTTGATTAGAGTTGCTACCAGAGCTGGTACCCAGAGTTGCTATCAGAGCCGGCCATCAGAGTTGCCCTCAGAGAACCTCATCAGACTTGCTCACACTTAGAAAGATTAGAAGACACTTCAAATAGTCGTTAAACTAACGAGAAATTCCCTAACGGCTAGGAGCCTCTCAACGGAAGTTGCTACTGTTCACGCATTTAATGCTCAAAATAGCAAGTCAACTACTTTTTGAGAATCAATCGGTCAAGTCAACAGTACATGGATTTAATGAAGATGTCCTATACACTCTAACGAGAAGGCATCTCCCAGTAACTAACGATTTAAGAACAGGAACTCTAACGATTCAACCTCTCTCTAAAGCAAATAAATTCAAACGCTCAAGACTACAACTTCCACTCTTCAAGAGAAACAAAAGTTTACGTTGGAAAAAATTATAAACTCCATATCTTTTCTTTTCAACGTGAAAGAATCGTTCCTCCAGTTCTTCAACACTTCTAAAGCATCATTTTCACATCCTTTGTGACTAATCTACGTTGGAGAAACCGTTTTTAATCTAAACACTTCTTGCAAAAGAAGGCATGTCTCAAGTAACTGGAGTAGTGAAGTGGTGATACTTCAAGAAGCTCAGTGAACACGAGACCAGTCTTCAGGAAGCTTGAAGAAGACGAGGAGTGCTTTTTAAGTGCTAGGACTAAGGCATTGTAACCTGTATTTTTACAAGCTTAGGGGAACTGTGGACTAGAGGAACGTGTTGTTCCTTGAACCACTATAAAAATCCCCGGTGTCATTTACGTTACGCATTTTACTTTCCTGCATTTTGATTCAACTGGTCAACTCTCATAGACTTAGACTTTGTGTTCAGCAGATCTTGTCTTACGAGTTATCAGAGAGGCATTTGCCTTATTGTATTTATGAAGGCTACCCGACCAGAACTCATCCGCTGTCAGGTCAAGTTCCGCCATCAAAACTCGACCTTCTCTGTCAAGTCTGTTAAGACTTAGAGAAAAGTTTGAAACTTTAAAAGACTGTTTCTTGTGTAAACGGGACCAACAAGTGGTATCAGAGCCTCATTGTTCGTAATCTTTTAGGTTACTTGCTGAACAAAGATCCACTTGTTTCTTAGCCTTTGTTTTACTCTCTTATTATGGATAACACACTTTCAAAGAATCTTATGTTTTCAATAGTAAAGTTTGATGACGGGAGAATCCGCATGAAAGCACATCTCTGTGCCCTCCATGATGAGATGTGGGAAGTCCTGGATGCTGATCCTTTCACCGAGTTCAAGAAGGTGAACTCAGAGTACATTGCTGGTTGTGAGTGGTCAACTGAAGAAAGAAGGAAGTACAACCATGACAACATTGCCAAGTACATCCTCTACAAGGCTATAGATGAGAAATACTTCACGAGAATCAAGATGTGCACATCTGCCAAGGAGATTTGGGATACACTAACTCTTATAGGAGCTGGTGATGAGCAGGAGAAAGACAACAAACTGACCATAGCAATGAAGAAGTTTGAGGACTTCAAACTTCTCCCAAAAGAGTGCATAGCTGAGATGTATGCACGCCTGCTCACCCTTACTGCAGAAATCTCAGAACTTGGGAAGGACCTAACTCCCAAGGAGATCAACTTGAAGATTCTAAGAGGTCTACCTTCACCCTGGAAGATGAAAGTCACTGCTATGAGACACGGCAAGGATCTCAGGACCTCCAACATATAAAAGCTCAACTCTGATCTCAAATCTTATGAGTTCGAGATGAATGAAGAAGAAAAAGAAGAAGAAGACAGAACAACAACTGCCCTGACTACTATTACTTTTAAGGTAAATAACTTTGACCCGTCCATTCTTAACTGACGAATACATGCATGCCATTGCCAGGAAATTTAGGAAGTTCATGAAGCCCAAGGATGGCAGAAGTCCATCCTCCAGCAGGAAGTCCTTCCTAAAGACCAAGTCTACAGATAGCGGAGGAGAACTTCTCTGCTACAACTGCAGGCAACCTGGGCACTTTAAGATCAATTGCCCTCACCCCATAATGTCCAAGAGGCAAGGATGGGAAGGTGACAAGAAGTATGAGCACAGGAGAAGAAAAGCTCTTGTCTCTGAGCAACCAGAGATGGACCCCTCTCTGAAACAGAATCCAGTTCTGAATTGATCTTTCAGATTGTATTTCTACTTGTGATTTAATTGATCTTCCTTTTCAAGGACCACAGTTCTGATCATAGCCCATTGTTAATTAAGTGTATTAAGAATCTTCCCAATGGACCCAAATCTTTTAAATTCCAGAACATTTGGCTTTCCCACCCCAATTTTATGGACACTGTTAATAAAAGTTGGAGTGCTAATTCTTTTGGTGGGGGAATGCATGGTCTTTTCTGTAAGCTAAAGAATATGAAGAAGGACCTAAGGGAATCGAACAAGGATGTTTTTGGGAATCTATTCGATGACATTACACTTTTTGAGAAGAAGGTTCAACAATCAGAGATGGATTTTGAGGCAGATCCTAGTGAAGCTAATTGGGAACAATGGTTCCATTTTAAAGCTTTACTTAAAACAAAATACAAGTTGGAGAGAAAATTTTGGAAACAAAAAGCTCACGTCCATTGGTTAAAAAAGGGAGAGAATAATAGGTACAAATGTACAATTACTACCAAGAAAGTGATTCCTTTCTTCAACAAAAGGCATTAGCTATCTATGTTTTCATTATGATATATAATTCACCTGTTTAGAACTATAATTATGACCAAGGAAATGATAATATGATGATTTATCTCATTAAACTATATCTATATAATATAATATAGGCTGTTTTAGAAACTTATAGAAATAGTGTGAGTAAGACATTCAAAAAAAGAAAGAAACAGATAGTTGATGCAGAACTTGGGCACAAACTAAAACAGAGTAAACTGTAAACTTATAGAAATAGGCTCACTGGTGATAATATTGGATGAAATAGAACTGTTGCTTCTTGAGACACAGAGTTCACCGGTGGCTTTTTCACACTGAACCAGATACATAGACACTAAAAATTATAAATAAACAAATAAATAAATAATAAAATAAATAAAATAAATAAATAAATAAAAAATAAATAAATAAACATTTAAACCTAGCCAGTGCCTATACATTTTCCCGCACTCACTACCACTCAACATTCAGCCTATCTCAAACCTCGAAACTACCTCTACAACTCTAAATAAGAATTCACGTTGGAAATACTAATCCGAGTATCATTCCCTCCTTGACAACCTCACTCGTTTTAAACTCGACTTGCCAACCTAGTCTCTCTTCAGCTGTCCCTTAATCTGACCTATTTAAAACTACTTTGCTTTAACTTTGCAGGAACAGACTACACATCACAATTATTTAAGACAAACTTCGTTGGGTTCGTGGATATAAGGGGAGGTCCAACAACAAAAGAGACACAATACGCCAAGTCATACCCGGAATCATCATTTGGAACATGTGAAAACAAACTTTTTTAAAGCGAAAAGAGTCGAAAAGCGATGACCTTGGTCTCTGTTTAAAAGCGAAACATAAAGTGAAGTGTAGCTTTTTGACAAAACATGATTCATAATTATGCAAAAAACGCAGAAGTAGTCATAGAAGTCATTAAGAATAATATTAGTGCGTCATAAGGTCTCAAAACATTCATCACACAATTACACACAAAAGCACAAGTCCTTATTACTTAAGAGGAAGGATTGAACTGGAATAAACTAAAAATTAGTTAATCAAAAAAGCGAAAGGAACAAACTGGACTAAAGCAAATCAAGAAATAAGCTAAAAAATTCTATCCTCTGTTCTTTTTTAAACGCAACATGTTGAATTTTACACAATTCACATGCTCTACTTTGACTACATTTTACACTTAATTTATGAAAATTATTCTTTTTACACTATTTTAATATTTTTTACTAATAGAATTAAGATATAATTACGGTCAAAGACATGCGTTGGCAAATGTGAAATGTTGACCGTTGCAAATAAAAAAGAACGGAGTGAGTACTTAATAAATAAACTAAAAGGAATAAACTACAATAAACTAATAATTTATTAATCGATATACGATAATAAGTAAATTGAAATCAACTAAAATTTAATTAATCAAGAAAACAGATTTATATTTTCGTAAAAAAATACTACATTAATACTTGATAGAATAATAGGTACAAATGTACAATTAACACCAAGAAAATGATTTCTTTCTTCAACAAAAGACATTAGCTATCTATGCTTTCATTATGATATAGAATTCACCTGTTTCAAACTATGATTACTACCAAGGAAATGTTTATATAATGATATCTTTCAATAAGTTGTATATTTATAATATAGGCGGTTTTGGAAGTGCTAATATAAGATTTTCATAAAAAAGAAAGAACGGAGATCTGAGGAGGTTAGGAACACTGAAAACAGAGTAAACTGTAAAAGTTCAAATGAAAAAGTCTGGAGAACAACAATCTGGATGAACTAGGCTCACCACAGAGAAAGTTGGATGAAATAGAACTGCTGCTTCTTGAGACGCGGAGTCCACCTGCGGCTTCTTCACACTGAACCATGCGAAAGAGACCAGAAAACTTCAGCAGCTCACCCACCGGCTTCTTTTCTGCAGAATACCTCAATCGCAGACAGCGATTTCTTCAGCATAGCATGTACATAAACTCTAAAAATTATAAATAAAGAAACTAATCCACATTTAAACCTAGCAAGTACATATACATTCTCCTGTACTCACTACTAATCAACATTCAGCTTATCTCAAACCTGGAACCTACCTCTACTACACTAAATAAAAATTTCTCTATGGAAATACTACACTCAATCTCATTCTTTCCTGGCAACCTCATTCATTTGAAACTCCATTTGACATCCTGGTGTCTCGTCAGCTGTTCTTTAATCCGACCCATTTGAAACTAATTTGCTTCTAATTTGCAGAAAAGGACTACACATACCGATGATTTAAGACAAACTTTGTTTGATTTATGCTATTGGGGAGGTCCAACAACATAAGAGATACCATAGGCCACGCCAAAAAGCGTCCAAAAGCAATGACCTTGGGCTTTGCTTAGAAGCAAAAGCGCTAAGCGAAGCGTAGCATTCTGACAAAGAGCGATTTATAGAAATAAAATAAAAAATATAATATATAATGTATAATTGTGCTAATGAATCAATAAAGTGAAATTAATAAAATGGAATTAACTAAAATTTAGTTAATCAAGAAAACAGATTGATATTTTCGAAAAACAAATACTGCATTCATACTTGCTAGAATAATAGGTACGAATGTACAATTACTCCCATGAAAATGATTTCTTTCTTCAACAAAAGCCATTAGCTATACATGCTTTCATTATGATATATAATTCACCTGTTTAAAACTATAAATATGACCAAGGAAATGAAATATTGATTTCATTCATTAAATTATATCTATATAATATGGCTGTTCTAGAAGCTTATAAAATAGTGCAAGAGTAAGACTTTCAAAAAAAGAAACAGAGAGCTGAGGAAGTTGGGCACAAACTAAAAACAGAGTAAACTGTAAACTTCACCGTTTTAAAATCCACTTGACATCCCGGTGTCTCTACGGTTGTCCCCTAAACCGATCTATTTGAAACTACTTTGCTTCTATTTTGCAGGAAAGGACTACACATCACAATGATTTAAGCCAAACTTTGTTTTATTCCTGCAACGGGGGGTCCAACAACATAAGAGATACCACAGGTCAAGACATGCCGGGAATCATCATTGGGAACATATGGAAACAACTTTTTCAAAAAGGAAAAGTGTCCAAAAGTGATTAGCTTGGGCTTTGCAAAAGCGTAACTTTCTCACACAAAGCGATTCTTATAGAATTAAAATAAAAATATAATATATAATGTATAATTGTGCAAAAAATGCATAAATAGTCGCACAAGTCATTAAGAAAAATACTATTACAGCATAAGGTTTCAAAACATTCATCACACAATTACGCAAAAACGCACAAGACCTTATTACTTCGTGGAATGAACTGGAATAAACAAAAAATTAGTTAATCAAAAAACTGAAAGGAACAAACTGGACCGAAGTAAATCACGTAATAAACTAAAAATTATTCAATAATAACTAAAAGGAATAGACTGAAATAAACTAAAAGTTAATTAATCAGTAAAGTGAAATGAATAAATTGGCACAACAACATCCAAGCCTTAATCCCAAAAGAATTTGGGATCAGCTAACATGAATCGATATCATGATATCGATGCTAAAAAGAGAAGATGGAAGACAAAGGGAAGAAAAAAGAAAGAGTAAGATAAAATGAATAAAATAAAGATAAATAAATATAAGCTCACAATAACACAAGAATATAAGAAAGACAAAAGATAAAAATAAAAGAGTATAAAAAAGCTAGAAGTTTAAAATAACATAAGAATATAAAAAGATTAAGAAAATAAACGATAAAAGAAAAAAGAGATGAAAGGTGGACAAGACATCAATCGTCCACGGGGATGTGCGCCCTCCACGTTGCTCTCTCCAAAGCCATACTCTTATCCAACCCAAGAAACAAATTGATATTTTCAATTAATCAAGAAACGGATTAATATTTTCACGAAAAAAATTACTACATTTACACTTGATAGAATAATAGGTACAAATGTAGAATAACCACCAAGAAAATGATTTCTTTCTTCAAAAAAAGCATTAGCTATCTATGCTTTCATTATGGTATATAATTCACCATTTTAAAACTATAATTACGTCCTAGGAAATGATACTATAATGATTTCTTTCATTAAATTATATCTATATAATGTAGGCTGTTTGAGAAGCTTATAGAAATAGTGTCAGAGCAACACTTTCAAAAAAAAGAAACAGAGAGCTTTGGAAGTTGGGCACAAACTAAAACGAAGTAAACCGTAAAAATCTGCATGAAAAAGTCTGGAGAACAATCTGGATGAAATAGGCTCACCGGAGAGAAAGTTGGATGAAATAGATTTGCAGCTTCTTGAGACACAGAGTACACCTGCGGCTCCTTCACACCGAACCAGAAAACTTCCGCAGCTCACCCACCGGCTGCTTTTCCACATAAGACTTCTTCGACACAGCATAGACGTATACTATAAAATTATAAATAAACTAATCAACATTTAAACTTAGCCTGGCCTAAGTGCATTCGTAGGCCCGAAAGCACCCTGTGCCTAGGCCCGAACCTGTGCAACTAGGAATGAACAGAGCACGAGCCGGGCCTAAATGGGGTTTTTGAAATGTTGGGTCCGGAATCCGCTTGGGTCGGGCTGGGCCCAAGCGTGCTTTTTTTGAAATGATGGGCCCGGAATGAGTTCAAGTAGCCCGAAGTACCTGAATGGGCTCTGCGTAAATTTTTTTGTTTTTCTAATTATCCTCTCTAATTATCCTCCGACCCCCCCCCCCCCCCCCGTTCACAAAAAAACTAGGCTCGTGCCCAGAGTCCCAGACCGCCTAAGCCACCCCAACCGGTTCAAAGCCCGGGCCTGGTTTACACTGAGCAGGCCAGTACAAGCCTACACACTAGCAGGCAAGTCCTTTTCCTGGGTCTTGCTGACCTGAACCGTTCCATTTCTAGTCATAAGTAAACATTTAAACCGTTGAATATAGACATAGCTAAGAGTGTTATTCAAAGTAACAAAAAATTCACTTATAATGATGCCAAATACAAGTAAACAATTAAATTATTGAATCTAAGGCGATGCGGCTAATCTATATCAACATACGTCATTTCTCCAAATAACGATTTTTTGTTAAAAGATTTTGCTGCAATAATTCTTCCGTACCCTTCACTTCACCATTCCTTCCCCCATGAGTTTCTTATCTTCCAGTAGTAATCTTCATCTTCTGTCCCATAACCAGTTACTATGACACAATGTGAGCGTTGTTCCTCACGTTTGTGGTTTGGTCCTGTATAGATACTTCCTTCAAATTTCAAAAATGTAAAACATTAAAAATGTATTCAATTCAAATATTAATTAAGAGGTATGTAATACAGTCACAAATATAAAATAACTTTCTAACTTTTCTTAGGTAACGTACCTTTAACAAGTGTAATTCGGGGTAATCCATTAATGAAATGCACACCGGTTTGGCCTTTAAGATGTCCGCTAAAGCATTTTCATCCGTTGTGGCTTGAAAATGCGCTTTTCTAACGTGGAAGGCCTTAGATACAACCTAAAAAAAATTAAATGTTAAATATAATTAGTTTTAAAGAATTATTATCAAAAATAATATATGAAACCACAGAAACCATATGACAGTTAGTACACAAGTAATTAGACCTTTTCAGATTTTCTGTTGGGAGTTGGATAACCACGCCTCTTAGGTCCATTGCTCGCTGTAAGAATTCTATAGCTGTTTGTCCAATAAACTACTCGTTTAAGTGTTCTTATAGACCTATCTTTAAAGGTCTTTAAAGGTTTTCAGGATTTAGAATATCACATCCTGCAAATCCCAATCCCTTATAGCAGAGCTTCTTTGATGTTGTAAATAATATGAAGACCTTTAAAGTTGGGTCTATAGAAACACTTAAACGAGTAGTTGATTGGGCAAACAGCTATGGAATTCTTACAACGAGCGATAGAGCTAAGAGACGTGGTTATTTAACTCCCAACAGAAAATCTGAAAAGGTCTAATTACTTGTGTACTAACTGTCATATAGTTTTTGTGGTTACATTTATTGTTTTTGATAATAATTCTAAAACTAACGGTACATTTTTGATAATATTTCAAAATGTTTTTAGGTTGTATCTAAGGCCTTTTCAAGCCACAACGAACGAAAATACTTTAACGGACATCTTAAAAGCCAAACCGGTGTGCATTTCATTAATGGATTACCCCGAATTACACTTGTTAAAGGTTTGTTGCCTAAAAAAAGTTAAAAAGTTATTTGATATTTGTGACTGCATTACATACCTCTTAATTAATATTTGAATACATTTTTAATGTTATACATTTTTGAAATTTGAAGGAGGGGATCTTTAAAGGACCAAATCACAAACGTGAGGAAGAACGTTGACATCGTGTCATAGTAACTGGTTATGGGACAGAAGATGAAGATTGCTACTAGAAGATAAGAAACTCATGCGGGAAGGAATGGGGAAGTGAAGGGTACGGAAGAATTATTGAAGCAAAATCTTCTAAAAAAATCATTATTTGGAGAAATGACATATGTTGATATAGATTAGCAGCATCGCCTTAAATTCAACAATTTTACTGTTTACATGTATTTGGCATCATTATAGATTTTTTGTTACTTTGATTAACACTCTTAGTTATGTCTATATTCAACGGTTTAAATGTTTACTTATGACTAGGAATGGAACAGTTCAGGTCAGCAAGACCAGGAAAAGGACTAACCTGCTAGTGTGTAGGCTTGTACCAGCCTGCTCAGTGTAAACCAAGCTTGGGCTTTGAACCGGTTGGGGTGGGTTAGGCGGTCTGAAACTCTAGGCACGGGCCTAGTTTTTTGTGAAGCAGATGGGTGGGGGATAATTAGAAAAGCAAAAAAATTACACAGAGCTGGCACGGCCCAAGCCTGAAACCCCTGGCTACCTGGACTCATTCAGAGCACAGGCTGTTTGAGAAGCTTATAGAAATAGTGTCAGAGTAACTCTTTCAAAAAAGAAAGAAACAGAGAGCTGCGGAAGTTGGTCACAAACTAAAACAAAGTAAACTGTAAAAATCTGCATGAAAAGGTCTGGAGAACAATCTGGATGAAATAGGCTCACCTGAGAGAAAGTTGGATGAAATAGAATTGCCGCTTCTTGAGACACGGAGTACACCTGCGGCTCCTTCACACCGAACCAGGCGACAGAGACCATAAAACTTCCGCAGCTCACCCACCGGCTGCTTTTCCACAGAAGACTTCCTCAGCACAGCATATACGTATACTATAAAATTATAATAAAATAAATAAACTAATCAACATTTAAACCTAGCCAGTGCCTATACATTTTCCCGCACTCACTACCAATAATCAACATTCGGCCTATCTCAAATTTAAAGCCTACCTCTCCAACTATAAATAAAAATTTCACTTGGGAAATACTAGTCCCAGTCTCATTCTTTACCTGACAGCGTCACTCGTTTTAAACTCCACTTGCCATCTTGGTGTCTCTTCAGCTGTCCCCTAATCCGACCTATTTGAAACTACTTGGCTTCTATATTGCAGGAAAGGACTACACATCACAATGATTTGAGACAAACTTTGTTTGAATCCTGGCTATGGGGTGAGGTCCAACGACAAAAGAGACACGAAACGCCATGTCATGCCCGGAATCATTGCTTAGACATATGGAAAGAAACTTTTTTAAAGGGAAAAGCATCCAAAATCGATGACCTTGGACTTTGTTTAAAAGCGAAAGCGCTAAGCAAAGGGTAGCTTTTTCAAAACAAGCTATTCTTATAAAAATATAATATTTAAATTATAATTATGCAAAAAACGCATAAGTAGTCATATAACTCAATAAGAATAATACTACTGCGGCATAAGGTTTCAAAACATTCATCACACAATTACGCACAAACGCACAACACCTAATTATTTAGTGGATTGAACTGGAATAAACTAAAAATTAGTTAATCAAAAAGTGAAAGGAACAAACTTGAATGAAGTAAATCAAGTAATATGCTAAAAAATATTAAATAAATAAACTAAAAGGAATAAACTACAATTAACTAAAAATTAAATAATCAATACAGTGAAATGAATAAACTGGAATCAAAGAAAATTTAATTAATCAAGAAAACAGACTGATATTTTCATAACAAAATACTACATAAATACTTGATTGAATAATAGGTACATATATAACATAGGCTGTTTTAGAAGCTTATAGAAATAGTGTCAGAGTGAGACTTTAAAAAAAAGAAACATAGAGCTGCGAAGTTGGGCACACACTGAAAACAGAGTAAACTGTAAAAGTTCGAATGAAAAAGTCTGAAGAACAATCTGGGTGAAATAGGCTCACTGGAGAGAAAGTTGGATGAAATCGAACTGCCGCTTCTTGAGACGCGTAGTTCACCCGCTTCTTCACACTACACCAGGCACAGAGACCAGAAAATTTCCGCAGCTCACCCACAGGCTTCTTTTCCGCAGAAGACTTCTTCAATTGTAGGCTGCGACTTCTTCAGCACAGCCTATTTGGCCGCAGATGACTCTTTTCACCCTTGATACCTTTCCCGCCGGATTTGGGTCCTCTGCCTGGATTTGGACGCCAGGTAGGATGCCTGGCGAATTTAGGCAGCAAGATCCGATTTTTGCATATCCCAAAGCCGTGCTATTCCCTTTTCTGCCGTTGCGTTTGCGCCAAGGACTCTGCTGTGCGATAGAGATCCTTTTCCCTTCCAGCCATGGCAAAGAAAGCATACCAGGACGACAAAGATGAAAGCCTCATTCTTTCGAGACGCGGGCTATCCAACCCTGCAGACGAACGGCCGCAATATCTCTCTCTCTAAAAAGAACCTAGGTTTGGATTGCTGCGAGTTGCAGTAGTATGTTGTCGAACAGCCTCTTCTTTACTCTTTATTCTCATCTTTGGACCCTGCGTGTATTTTACTTTACTGGGCCACTTTTGGCCCAACGTTTTATCTTTAGTGGAAATTACCCATTTGGTCCACTTTTGTGGATCACATATCATTTATGTCTTACTGGTTTTCCTTTTCAATTTTAATTTTTTCCTTTTTCAATTACATTTTTTAATTTCAAATTTAGGTGTTTATTTCAACTGTCTATGAACGTTCAATCTCTTTTCTAAGGCAAGGAGATTCTGCAGGAGCAACATCAGGACAGATGATCGGATTTTCAGAGTCGTGACCACGGTACTCCGTGAATTCATCGAACACCGTTCAGTCCTCCTTGTGTCTGGTCATCATTTGTATGGCATCCAGGGGAACGAGCGCTGGGATACTGCGCCCTCAGAGTAGAGAGCGATGCATACCTCATCTCCGGCGAGCAGGTTTGGTAGCCACTTTTGCACAGAAGCAAGCAGAGAACATGTCCTAGGATGTTGGAAACTGTTGGACGACATACCAGGGACACTCTTTTGCTCATACCATATAGGTCTCCGACGGGTGATGTTTTACTTATTTGGGCCACTTTTGGCCCAACGTTTTATTTTTATGAAATACTAGATTCTCACTTGTGCGATGCACGGAACAATAGTATGTAAAAAATTATACATACTATTGTGAAATTATATAAAAATTATTCTTTAACATGAAATTATTTTTAATATAAAAATTATATTAAAATGTTCCTTATTAAAAATAGTTTCGTAAAAGTATAAAATTTATAAATTATACTTGTATATAAATATAATAATTAAAATAATTATCCAAAGTTTGCTAACATTTGACTGAGAAAAGTCAAATTGACTAATCTTTCCGGAGGAGGAGTATTATATTATTTGTTAATAATGTTTGTCAATGATTTTCTTTATAAATAAAATGTATAAATTTATTAAAAGAGAATTATATGTAATATAAAAAAGATATAATTAGGATATAAAATCAAAGCTAGTGCATAAATGTCTTGGAAGAAGGTAATTTATATATTCCATCAGGTTTTGAAAGAAGGTTTTTGTTTGAATTTAGGATTTTTAAGAAAGTTGAATTTTTAGTTTTAATTTGCTCATTGTATCCTTACAAAAAGTAGATTATGAGTAGTGAGAGCGAGAAAAAAAAGTTGTTATAAGGTAGGTAAATGAAGTAAGGATATAAGGTATTTTTTTAATAAAAAGTTGTCAAAAGTAAAAAATGAAAACTTTAATTTGAACCTACTACCAAAAAAAAAAGTGAGAATTTCAAACCAAAAGTACTCATTTTGATCGCACCAATACTTATAATATTATTTTGTGCTGCCAAAAAAAGCTTTATTAATTAAAATTAAAATTTTTATTATTTGTGAGAAGATCATTTCAAACAATCAAAACTTTTTTTTCTACCATCCATATGTAAAGCCCAACCCAACCAATATTCAGCATATATTTACACTTCTGAAATTGTTTTTATATAGATAAAAATTGTGATTTTATTTTTTTAATATCAAAGTCAATATTTTTGCACTTCTAAAATTATTTTTATATTTTACATCATTTATAAGGTGGTTACATTAATAAGACTATTCTTGAAGTTAAGAATCATTTTCTTTAGGCCCACTAATAAGTCTTGGAAGATCGTTGTTCTTTCCATAGCTATTAGTATAGGCCCAATATAAAATTTGTTCAACGCAGTCTCTAAATCCTTTTTTGGCTCAAATCATTCCAAATTTTGATTTTTTTTCAAGTTTTTAGTAGTTACACTATGCTCTTCTTATATTTTATATTAGCCCCCTTTTGAAAATACTTAATAGTTGCACTAGTGCAAAATACACGTTCTATAACTAGGTTTTAATATGGATTCATTTATAACCGTTATAATATGTAGGTGCGGGGTCATATTTATAAATAATGAAAGTAGAGTAAGTTGAGCGGGGTATGTTTTATAAATATAAAAATATTATCTATAACGGTTAAAATTATAACCGACATTGTTAACTAAAATGGGGTTTATGGATAGTCTACCCGGGGGTATATATCCGAAGGGTTATTGCTGGGAATAGCTTAGAGAGAAGTCAGAGCAAGCAAATGTAGAGAGAGAGAGTGTATTATAAATGTGGAGCGTTTTCAGCGTGGTTACAAATGGGGAAATGGGGTGCTATTTATAGTAGCAATAAATGCCGGGCAGGGACACGTGTCAAGCACCTATTGGCCGAGGGGTCACCTCAAATGGTTGGCGTTGGCAGCCGCATGTGGCCGCATTTAATGCGGCTGTTGGATGGGACGTCTGTACAGGGTACGGTGATCTGTACGCATGTGAGGCGGATATCATGTCGGAAGAGGTGCCCTCGGCTGCAGAGGACTAGCCGAGGGCTCTTAGTGCCGAGGACCCCTGAGTGCCGAGGGCTCCAGGTGCCGAGGGCTACTTTTTTCGCCGTTTTCTCCCAGTTTCTTAGTTTGCCTGGAAAACCCATTCTGTGAGAGTTTAGAGCCTTCGGCCAGGGGGCCGAGGGCACCCCTGGTGCGTATTGCGGGCTGCTTGGTACTCTGGGCGCCGTGATTTGGGCCTGGTGGGCCTCCTGGGCCTGTTGGGCCTTCATTGGTGTAGTAGGAGTCTGTGGGCCGGGTGTTCCCGGGCCATATACTCCATCAGGAGTCCCTCACTCCTTTTGCCGAAAGGTATTTGAGGGAAAAGGAGTAATTTGTGCTTGCCCTTTGATGTTGTCCTGTCGTGATCTCTGAAGTTGGTGAGGAGTTGTTGCTTTTATGTCCCTGCCGAAGGCAGTCCCTCAGTTACCCACATGTCGGGACTTGAGGCCTTGCTTTGTCGTTTGTTGGAATTTCACTAATTTTGTAATTTAATGATTTTCCCGAGGGGGTCCTCCAGTCCCCCACTCCTTGAGGCACTTGTAAAGTGGTAAAAAGGAGTAGAGTAGTTGCGTTGTTGTTGTGGGCCGAAGGCTGACGCTTTTCGTTTCATTTTGGGGGGATGCCTCGTTAAAAACCTCATTAGAAAAAACCCTGTGGGAAAAAATCCTAATGAGGGAAAAAGAGTGCACCGGATTCCCCCAATGATGAATCGAAAATGTCAAACCTTGGTCAAAAATGGAGAATAACGGTAATGCCGAAGGCTCTTCTTTTTCTGAGGGCTCGTGTGTTGATTAGCCGAAGGCTTGCTGTTGATGTCCTGGGGGTGCCGAAGGGGAGCCCCTCAATCCGGGGATCGAGGGCCTGCTGGATGAGGGCAGCAGTGGAGTTGTTACCGGGGGGTCACTGTTTGTTGATTAGTTGGTGATGAAGATACCCGAGGGCTCCCATTACCTGTGTGCCATGGGTTATCCGTCAATGAGGCAACTCCCCGGGGGCTACCCGGTTTTGCAGTGCTGAGGGGGAATCCCCGGGGGTGCCCTGATATGAAGCCCTGGGTTTCTGAAGGAGTGATCCCGAAGGCGTCTGTTATGTGCTGTGTGGGGCACAACCCGGGGGCGTCTCTGGGTAAGTGTACCCGGAGGCTCTCCTTGACGAAGTGGAGTGAAGTAGAAAACTCGGGGGCTTCCAGAATATAGCCATTGGAAATATAGCTGTTGGAATATGTAACGTCAAGATATAGCCGTTGGGGGGTACACGTGGCGCGTGACGGTTGGCTGCCCGTGGGCGGCGTCACCGGTTGGGTGAAAACACGGTGCGTAATGATGACGGTCCGTACGGAGGCCCGGTTTCCGGGCCCAAGCCCGGATTCCAGCGCCTATAAATACCCCAAGGCCAGGCATTCCTCCGTGTGCGAAAACCTTGTTAGCGAAGCTCTGCCAATTTTTCTAGAGAGAAATAGCAGCCCTCGGTTGAATCCTCCGTTCTTAAGGTCAGTTCTCCACTTGCCCTTCACCTCTTAGCTACATGTATTGTGCCCTTAGGCTAGGAGATAGAATATTTAGAAGACACTATCGTCTACGAGCCTTCGAACTAGAGTCAGAATGTCGTCCCAGAGTGATTCTCAAGATATCTCGGGGGCGCCCTCGATGGAGGATGAAGTCCTCTCGGACGTGGAGTCCTCAAGTGCAGAGTCTTCGGTGGGACAGGATGCCGTCGTTGCCCTGGAGTTGCAGAAAGCCCTCGTAGATGAGGCGGAAGCCGAGGGCTTCGAGCAAGAATGTGAGGACGAAGAGTTGGCCCTCGCCTGGCAAGCAGCTGAAGAGGAGGCACAAAGAGAAAGCGCGAGGGTCACCGTTGTTGTGCTCCCCCCTCGGGGTGCCGGTGAGGCCAGCACCTCTCGGCCGCTGAATGCGGTCCCCATCCGGGTGGCCCCCGGAAAGAAGAAGGCCAAGGCCGCTGCTCCCAAGAAGAAGGGCAGCGTAGCAGACCAAGGGAAGCCCCTCGATATGCCCGAGGGGTACTCCTATCTCAACACCGCCGCATTGGAGATCAAGTCGAAGGTTGATGCGACGGACATCTATGTCACCCAGCTTCACGTGGGCCCCTCGGCCATCGTGGTGACACCGGGTCCGGATGACATCCTCTCCCGGGCTCCCGAGGGCTGCATTGCGGTGCACGTTCTCTCGGTATCCATGGGGCTCCGCTTCCCCCTGCTCCCCTTCCTCCGGGAGTACCTTCGGTTCGTGGGTCTGGTTCCCTGCCAGCTGACCCCGAACATCCATTCTTACATTACTGGCTTCCTCCAGCTCTGCAAGTCTCGGGGTGTGACGCCTAGCCTGGACCTCTTCTTCCAGAGCTTCAACTTGTGCCGGGGGCACGCGAATGCCGAGGGATTCGCCAATTTGCAGCAGGTGTCCATGTTCAAACTCTTCACTGAGGCGCCCTCCTCGAACAAGGGGTGGAAGGAACGGTGGTGCTATGTGAAGTTAGCCGAGAGCCCCTTCCCGGGGGAGCTACGTGACCGCTTCAGGAGGCACGAGAAGAGGAGGAGCGCCGCCCTCGAGAAAGATGGCAGGATTCTGGCCATGATCCCGGAGGGCTGGGACAAGAATATCACCATCAAGGAGTGCACCAAGGAAGCAGATCTCTACACCCTCGGGTTCCGGCGGTACCGGTTCCTGGGGGAAACAGACGAGAAGTTCCCAGTGTTTGAGGGAGCCTCCGGAGGTAGTGGCTGAGGGCATTCTCACCCTCATATCTTAGCACGTTATTTACTTGCGTCGTTTATTCTTTTATGCCACTTATTAGTGACCCCTCGATCCTAACCCCTCATTGTTTTGCAGGTATTCCAGTAAACATGATGAACGTCAAAGGCCTCGCCCGACTCAAGAACAAACCGGCCAAGGATCCGAAGGGGCCGGACGCTGGCGGACAAAAGCCCGTCGGTGCGCCTCCCAAGAAGCCCGAGGGCGATGCTGCTGCGGCGAAGAGGAAGCCGTCGGCAAAGGAGCCCCCCCAGGCCCCCAAGAAATCGAAGAAGGGGGACGCCGCGAAGGATGACCCTCCAGAGATGCCGATGGCGCAGGTGCCGAGGGGTGCCCGGGAGCCATCTCTCGAGGTCCTCACGCTCTCCCTTCCGGCTGGCACGGCCGTGTTGAATGGCACGGCTGACCCGAGGGCGCTCCTGAGAGGTATAACCCTCGATATCGACATGGCAGCTCTCGGGGCCGATGACGACCAAGCCCTCAAAGACAGGATCCTCCGGTCTTCCCTCACGGTAAGCTTATGACAGTTTGTCTTTCTCCTTCCTACTTTGAACTAGGACATCACGTTCGGCCCTGACAACTCATTTATTTTTGCAGACTTGCGTTGCCCTCGGAGAGCAGTTCTGACGAGTGGAGGAATGGTGCCTCCACAAAGCTAGGCAAGACGCCAAGATGAAGGAGCTAATCCTCAGGGACTCCCAGGCCACGAAGCTGATGGCCCAGCTTGAAGAGGACCTCCACCTTGCGAGAGCGGAGGCCGGGAGGCTCAGGGAGGAGAGAGAAAAAGCTGAGGAGGCCGCTGCGGAGGCCGCAAGGAGAGCTGCCGAGGAGGCCGAGGCCATCAGGGCGAAGGCTGTCGCCACAGCCCGGGAGGAGGCCATCTCCGGGTTCCTGGACGGGGGGTGGAAGACCGAGGGGCACAAGGCGTGGCTGTCCTCGGTTGTGGAGGCCTCAGTCGACGAGTGGTCCGAGGGCCCGGGCGAGGAATGGATGGCCCGAAAGGGTGAGCAATATTATGATGGGGGCGAGTTTTTCACTCAAGCCCTCATCTACCGGAGGATGGCCCGCCGTCTGAAGATTGAGTCGAAGGACTTTGACCCGGCGGCATACGGGCTCCCCCCCTGCAGCCAGACATCCGTGTTCCTCTCCCCCTGATGTCGAGAGGCCAGACCTGGAGGATTCTGAGCTCCGGAGGGAAGCCGAGGGCGGCGATCCTGAGGCCGATGTAGAGGTCACCTCGAAGCCATCGGGGGAGGCGTCCCCCGGGAATGACGTTATTTGATATGTACTTTGTATTTTGAACACTCTTGTAATAGCCACATTAGCATGTTTTCGGCCTCGGCCACCGTTGTAATAACTACATTTACTCTTTGTTGTGATGAATGAATGATTGCCTTCGGGCTTTGTATATATGGCTTGTTTTCCTTAATTCATTTCTTCTTGAATGTATGCCTTCGTCTCGTTTTGGATGTATGTCTTTGCTCCTTTGAATGTACGTTTCAGGACTTAGAATATTTTCTGATTGTAGCTTGCCCTTGGAAGCCTTCGGTAGTTGGGCACCCTCTGCTGGATATACAACCGAGGGTTCAGCAATAATTAGGACTTAGAAATTTTTTCTAAGTGTAACACACCATAGGGCCTTCGGGTGTTTGTAGTTCAATTGCTGTGTGGTGATTAGGTTGAAAACCCAATTCCTAGGACTTAGAAAAATTTCCAAGTGTAGTTTTGCCCTCGGATGCCCTTGGCTGGTAGCCTCCTTCCTGATGTGTGAATATTGGACCGAGGGCCCAATGTACAGGACTTAGAAAATTTTTGCAAGTGTAGTGTGTCATGTAGCCTTCGGCTACTGTGGAGCCCCAACTGAAATGTTGATTAGGCCGGGGGCCAATCTTCAGGACTTAGAAAACTTTCCTCAGCGTTGATTCCTTGTGTACCGTAGCCTTCGATTGATAGGTAGCCTTCGGCTATTAGGTCCCTTGAGATGAGGGTGAAATATGTAGGACTTAGAAAGATTTCTAAGTGCAGATTTTCCCTTGGGAGCCTTCGGGAGATGGCATCCCTTCTTGATGTATGAGTAGTTGACCGGGGGGAAAATATGTAGGACTTAGAAAATCTTCTAAGTGTAGATTTTCCCTTGGGAGCCTTCGGGATATGGCATCCCTTCTTGATGTATAGCCTTCGACTGTCATATTCATTTAGTTGTAATATTGATTGAGCCCGGGGCCCATCTTTAGGACTTAGAATTTTTTTTTTTGCAAGTGTTGTTGTATCGCATAGCCTTCGGCTATCATATTCCCTTGGCTGTAATATTGATTGGGCCGGGGGCCCAATCTTTAGGACTTAGAATTTTTTCCAAGCGTAAATTGATGTTGAGCTTCCGGATGTAGATCCCTCCGGGTATATGAATAGGACCCTTCGGGTGATCGTGAGGCCCTTGTGTTGTATGAGTCTTTGGCCGAGGGCCAAATATGTGGGGCTAAGCAAAATTTCACGGAGTGTCGTAGATGTTGAACCTTCGGTCAGTGTGGAGTCTGTCCGAGGGGCAAATATTTTGGAATAGTCCCCCTCGGTTGGCTTTTGATGATTTGTAATATATGCCTTCGGTTGTCTGGTGATATATTAGCCTCCGGTTGCCGTCATTTTCCAAAAAATGTGGACTTAGGAAAAGTGCGGAATGCTGTTGTTGTGAAGAAAGCCAATGATGAGTGTGTGCCCTCGGCATACACTCTGAAAGTTGTAGAGTTTGACTCAGCCAGTTGTGTCCCTTGTAATGGGGTAGGGGCCCTCGGTATTAGTGCATAACATATGCCCTCGGTGTTTGAAGTACCGTTTAGTGGACTTTGGATAGTCCTGTCCCTTTGTATTGTTGAAGCCTTCGGTGCTTGTGTGACCGGAGGTGACCAGGCAGTGGACTTAGCCGTTTCTTGATGATATTTGTTTGAGTAGTATCCTTCGGGAAATAGGAGCCTTCAATTACCGGAGGTGTTCCCGTGGGGAGCCCTCAGCATGTTGTGATCTGTTGGAGTGTACTCTTTGATTTCTCGCTGAGTCTAGTCCCCTTCACCCCCCCCCCCCCTTTTTTTTTGTTTGGTGGTGAAGGGAAGGCATCAAGAAACTTGGTTTCTTGGTAAGGCTGGGCCTATTAGGAGACCATCAGAATACACCAATGGCTCTCCTCCCTCTGGTTAACCTTCCGAGTTCCGAGGGGATCGAGGGTCGTTTCCTAGGCACAAGATATGGTGTTCTGTAACCTGCCTCCCCTTGGGGGATGGCGCGGAAAGCGCCTAATTTTTGAAAGTCGTCCCCTCGGCGCTAGACATGGTCCGTGGCCTGCCACACCCTTGGGGGGTGGCGCGGGGAGCGTTTCGGTTTGGAAGTCGAATCCTGGGCATTTCTCGTGCCTGTCATACCCTTGGGGTGATGACGCGGATAGCGTTCCGTTTTTGAAAGTCGAATCCTGGGCATTTCTCATGCCTGTCATACCCTGGGGGTAGTGACGCGGAAAGCGTTTCAAGGAAGGGTTTTCATTTGCACACTAGTTGCAAATGGCCGGGGGCACTACGTGCCGCCGGCACCGATGGTGGCGCCTTCGGTATATGCGTCCTCGTGGGGTACGGCTTTTAGAAACAACACTTGGTGTTAGTTTCGATGTGTAGCCCCGGTACTTGGTACCGAGGGGTCTTCTGTAGGAACACTTGGTGTTCTCTTTTGTTGCAATCGATGGGGGTGTCTACCCTCGGTACCTGGTACCGAAGGGTCTTCAAATGAAACACTTGGTGTTTCCCAACAGATGTTTGGAAGTTGATAGGAGAGCGTATCCCGGGCACGGGGTGCCGAGGGGTCTTCTGTAGGAACACTTGGCGTTCTTATCTTTTCTTTTTTGATGTTTGAAGGTGGAGATGCGTACCCCCGGCACCGGGTGCCGAAGGGTCTTCTGTAGGAACACTTGGCGTTCTTATCTTTTCTTTTTTGATGTTTGAAGGTGGAGATGTGTACCCCCCGGCACTGGGTGCCGAGGGGTCTTGACTGAGAGCACATGGTGCCTTGAATGTATCCTCATTCTTCGAAATTGGAGGCCTTGGGCCATAAGATAGTACATTCACTAGTTATGAGGGCTTGGCCGCTCTTACATTATTGATAAAATTTAACTAAGTGGTGTACATTCCAGTGCCTAGGGACCTCTTTCCCGTTGGGGCGTTTGAGTTTGTAAGTCCCAGGTTTGATGATGGCTGCTATGATGTAGGGGCCTTCGAATTTTGGTGCCATTTTTCCTCCCTCGGTTGGTTGGCTGGCTTCCCTCCTCCGGAGGACATAGTCCCCCACTTGGAATTCTCTGGTGCGAACTTTGGCGTTGATGTAACTTTTGACTTGCCTTCGGTAGTTTTCTGCCCGGATGAAGGCCTGCTCCCGGCGTTCTGAAACGAGGTGGAGGTCGAGGGCCATGTTGCTGTCGTTGACCTTGGGGTCATATTGGATCACCCTCCGGGTGGGAAGGGTGACTTCCGTAGGAGCTTTGGCTTCAAAACCGTAGCAAATGGAGAAGGGAGTTTCACCTGTTGCTCGCCGAGGGGTGGTGCGGTAGGCCCAAACGATATTGTGGAGTTCTTCCACCCAGCCACCGCCCCTCGGCCTCCAGCTTCTTTTTGAGGCCCTCGAGCAAGGTCCGGTTGGCATTCTCTACTTGCCCGTTGCCTTGAGGGTAGGCAACGGAGGAGAAGGTGTGTTTGATGCCCCATGCCTCCAGAAGGGCACAGAAGGGGGCTGCCTCAAATTGTGTCCCATTGTCGGAGATGATCTGCTGGGGGACGCCAAACCTTGTGAGGATGTTCTTGAGGACGAAGTGACGGCACTTCGCCTCTGTGATGCTGGCGAGGGGTTCAGCCTCCACCCACTTGGTGAAGTAGTCGATGGCCACAATGATGTACCTGTTGTTGGAGGTACCCCTCGGCAGAGGGCCCACAAGGTCTATCCCTCATCGAGAAAAGGGGACGGATGTGCTGATGGGGGCATAGTTGACTGCTGGCCTGCCGGGGGCTTTCTGGAAATGTTGACATGCGGTGCACCTCCGGGCAAGGTCAGCACAATCTCTGGCCATGGTTGGCCAGAAGTAGCCCTGGAGAATGAGCCTTCGGGACATGGAGAAGGGTCCCTGGTGAGCTGAGCAAGTGCCACTGTGCACTTCCTCCATTGCGACCTCGGCTTCATCTTGATGAAGGCACCGAAGTAGCGTGCCATTGTAAGATCGTTTGTAGAGCCTTCCATCTTCGAAGGTGTAGCTAGGAGCCCTCAGCTTTGCCAGTTTAGCGCGGGTCTCATTCTCGGGTAGCTGCCCTGTGGAGATGAAGGCGGTGATATCTGAGATCCAATCCTCTTGGCGTTGTTGTATGTCCATAACGGGGCTCGCATGGATACTTGAGAGGCTGAGTTCCTCAACTTTGGCAATTTTGGAGATGTGCTCGGGGGAGTCGGCCGAGAGCTTAGATAATATGTCGGCCTCGGAGTTCTGAGGCCTCGGTATTTGAGTGAGAGAGTGTGCCTCAAATACCTTAAGCAACTCCTTGGCCGCTTCCTTGTATTGTTTCATTCTTCCCTCCTTGGCCTCATATTCTTCGGAGATTTGGCCGACGACCAACTTGGAGTCGCATTTGGATCTGCCGAGCCCTCATGTTGGCAGCCAGCCGAAGGCCACATAGGAGGGCCTCATATTCGGCCTCGTTGTTGGAGACTTTGAAGGAGAAGCGGATTGCATAGTAGGCTCTGAAGCCCTCGGGAGTAATGAGGACTACCCCTCCCCCGCATGCTTTGGTCGCCGAGGAGCCGTCAGTGTAGAGGGTCCACCAATCATCCGAGGCAGCCGAGGGCTCCCCGTCCGCAGCTGTCCGTGCGGTACACTCCGTCACAAAGTCCGCTAGGGCTTGGCCCTTGATGGCAGGCCTTGGACGGATGTCAATGTTGTACTGGCTCAAGAAGATAGCCCATTTCACCATGCGGGAGGAGCTGGTGGGGCTCCTCATGAGGGCGCCGAGGGGTTGAAGGGTGAGGACCTGAACCGGTTGAGCCTGAAAGTAGTGGCCCAACTTCTTGACGGTCCAAACGATGGCCAACACCGTTTTCTCCACAGGAGAGTACCTGAGTTCGGCCTCCCTTAGAGTCTTGCTAACGTAGAAGATGGCATGTTGGATGCCGTCTTCCTCCCGGATGAACATAGAGCTGATGGCCGCCGGGCTGACCCCAAGGTAGAGATAGAGGTTTCCCCTACCTTTGGTTTGGATAACACAGGGAGTGAAGATAGATACCGTTTGAGCTCGTCAAAAGCCCCCTGGCATTCTGGAGTCCA